ATATTCTTACTAATAAATAGTGCAAGAGATTATCGTTTTCACTCATTGTTGGGCCATCATGTCTGTATTGTTTTTGTGCGCGCTAGACAACAGACGAGCGCTGACTATCTATCTTTATGTCGATTGCAAGTCAAATGTAAATAATTAATGCTTGGTGACCTGAGCGTGCAGCCAGTTTGATGTTACAAGTGGTATTAGCTAAGTAATGCGTGACTCGCACTGTGATGGCGATATAGTTATTTATTTCTGAAATTAGCGAGCCTATGTGGCTTTAAAAATAATGAAAATATTAAGTGCGCAGATTATTATAACTAACTGGAAATCTATACACATGGGTTGGGAATAAAGTATATAATCTGTAAAATAAATATTATACGGGATTTTGAGTAGTTAATAAATTTTCTTTTGCATCATGTTATAAAAGATGTTCATTAGAAATTATGAAGCTATCAAATATTTTAAATTATCCACGTATCAAATGCAATGAACATGATTATTGACATTAAACTTTTAATTTTAAGAGGGGTAACTGCGAGAAACGATCATTCCGAACTAAATTGATTCGAACTATAATATATTTAATATACCCTAGGCGTACAGCAGCAATTACAGTAGTTTTCTCTACAGTTAAAATATTTTTACGATTTGCCAGACTTCCCTCTACAATAAAATGATGGACTACTACAGAATTTTGAAATGCTCGGAAGAAGTGATCATGGCTTATAAGTGTTGATGCATACGTGTTTCGTGTGTGAGCTTCTTCCGTGTGTTATGTTTACAAATACCCCAGTATTATAGCAGAGTGGGTGGTAACGGTAAATTATTGAATTAGTAACGGCATACAAAACCCCATCGCTGATATTGAATATTTCTTAATGAAAGCTTTACCAAGCGAGACTGATAGTCTTTGTCCTACCAATTTAAAGTCCCGCTGACTGAGGGAGACATTTATTATTTTCCTAACTATGTTTATGGGGCGTACCATACATACCGGCTGCAATAGCACCCTCATAACTATGGGAAAATCCAAGATAACTGTCTATTTCTCGATTGTTAGTCAGATTAAGAGTGATAATAAAAATGAGGTAGTGCATTGAAATTCTACTCTCACGCCAATTTGCCTCCCTGTATTTCATCGCCGCTACGACAATGTAATTACTAGTATTATTGAACACTATAATTGCACCTATTCCACATACTTAAAGTGATGTGATAGGTCATTGGATTGGTATTTTTGAATAAATCAGAAATATTTGTAGCAAAACTACTCCCTACTCTACTCACTGAGCTGGACTCAAGTTGTAGACTGACTTATGTACTACTCTACTCACTGAGCTGGACTCAAGTTGTAGACTGACTTATGTACTACTCTACTCACTGAGCTGGATTCAAGTTGTAGACCAACTTATGTATGAATGGTATGCAGACAAAATGGAGGATCATAAAAAATTATTCTTTCTAAGTATGGCGAAAGAAACCCAGTTAAAATTTGTCCATAACAACTTATAATGTACTTTTGTACTTTATAAAGTACTTTAGCGAGCGATGAAGTAAAGTTTTTTAGTGTTTTAGCGAGCTATATTATTTACTCGCATCGAGTTTAGCTTTATGAGTCGTCAGTGATTTGCTGCCAGAGCATCATTCTTTCAAATATGATTTGCTGCCAGAGCTTCGTACTTTCAACTATTTTTGAAAGTATTACGCTTAACATTGGATTACTAGCATGACGACTAAAATCAATACGTAACTGAGGATTAGATTGGATTACCAGCATGACGACTTATATCAATGCGTAACTGAGAAGTAGAAGCAACCCGTCTTATCCTAACGAGTGATTGATCTTCAATATACGTATTGATAGCCGATTTCAAATTTGGCACTTCACAACCGTCATTACTGTCATCAAAGATGTAAATTGTTCAGATCAATGAATTAAATAATACATCGTTGATCATTTATGATGTAAAACTTTGTTCGCCTCAGTGGTGCACATGTACATTAATAATGTCTGCATTTTCAATTAGAATATTAACTTTAAATTAATACTTATGACATTGATTATAAGATAGAATATTAGGTAATAATTTTAATTTACTCAGATTAGACAGAGGTCGTATGTAACCTCACGACATAACTTTTCATTATTTTCACCTCAAGAACGAGATGATATAGTTCATTATTTCGAAGTAAGTCATATATATGCGGGGGAGATTCATTTCTGAAAATAATTGATTTATATATTAGTTATTTTTTTGTCAATCACGAAAAAACTAGTCTAATAGCAGTAAAATACAATCGTTGATGACTGAACAAATTGAATGGCATTTTTTACAATTAAACATTACTGAAATGGCAAACTTGTACATATTAAAAGCGGCAAGATAAGAAACTTATTGAAAATTGTTGCTCTCGTTCATTAATTAATTTACATTGAGAAATGGTTAATCAGCCATGACTTGGCTGCTAAAATTGTAAACTTATAAAGATAAGTGGAATATAGCTATCCGATTCTTAATGGATAATTTGAATTTTCTCCGAAGCGTTCTTAATTAGTACCTATGTTACAATACATATGTCTTATAATAACTGAATCATTTACATGGTCAGTGAAATTAAATTGCCGTTGTTTCATTATTCAAACGTACATAAACTGTTCAATTTTAGCAAAGAAAAAAAACTGAAATGTTAAATGAATGTTAGTAAAGATGCGGAATATGCATTTAAATATTTATTCGGTTTATTTGCTCCTTTGCATTGGTAGTGTGAGAGGAGAGAGATATTTTATACAAATATCACAATGGAAGGTTTAAAGCAATAAACTTAATAATATAATTAACTATTAAATTAAATTTAATGAACGTAATTTTTAAAATAGTAGCTCAGTCATAAGTCTTTCAAATATGAACCAATTTGTTCAAATTCTGAAATATAAGTAGATATTATCAATACGTTGGGTGAGGCAAGATACCAGATTTTCGCATTGATTACCCTTCAATTAAAAATTGAAAAACGAATATAACCTATAGCCTAATTGAAAATTAGCTTGATTTAATCGAATTTAACCAACTTAAACGAACTTTATTAACTTAAGCAAACTTGATTAAACTTAACCTAACTGAACTTGATTCAACTTAACCTAACGCAACTTGTTTTAGAGTGAAACTTAATGTAACCAGACTGTATTTAATTAACTTAACCTAACCCACTACAACTCGGAACCTTACTTCTAACAGTTATTTCCAGGAGAAACTATGGGAACCATATTTTACTGAGAATTTGTTGCTAGAAAAAAGGCTCCCAGTGGAAATAAGTGCAATAAAATATGGTTCTCCAAGGTTTCTCTGGAAATAATTTAGAAATAAGACATGGTAGAGCCATGATCACAATCTTTCTTGCATTTAAAATTATGTATTACTCCATCACTTTGAAGCAGAGAAAACTGTTGCAAATTTTAACTGTAGAGCAAACTACTATAAATGTATCTGTGCGTCAAGGATATAGTAAATAAATTATAGTTTGAATCAGTGAAGTTTAGTAGGGAACTTTTTTTGCAGTTATCCTTCAAAAAGTTAAAAAAGTTTAATGTTAATTATTACATGCATTTTATTATAATCATGGGTAAATTTAAAATTTTGTCATAGCTCCGTAATTTCTAGTAGACATCTTTTGTAACTGGAAGCAGAAGAGTAATAATATCACTCGTTTGCTTGAATCGCAAATTCACTGAAAACTTAATAGCAAAGAAAACACCACAAAATTTCATAGTAACTTTAAAGAAAACGTTTCGGAGTCCAGCTCCATCGTCAGTTCGAAAATTCTAGAACACAGATAAATCAGTGATTAGTACAGTCAAGAATACAACGAAAATCCTAAGCTGCAAAACCTACCTATTTACAATTTCAAGCGGTTAAGAGCTAAAAGCTAAATTTAAACTAGGCCTCTGTTTAAAAATATACAATGATTCTAAAATGCGCAAATCAGAAACACCGGAACTGGAAGCTAAAACTTTGAAGTCGCTGTCAGAAACTGGAACATCGCACTGCTCGGCGTGAACCCGCACAGCCGAATGAGGTGGGCGCGACAGTAAGTTACCAGTTCTACAACTCCTGCCCTATGTTCTGCGACCCTAGAATAAAGATTGCGAGACGTCATCCCGACGTACGCAGATGCACATCGTGCACAACTATATTTATAAACTAGGGACGCTCGCATATGCAGAGGGAGAGTATCTTTGTACCTAAAAAAATAACCGATTTTAAAATGGTTGACCAATATGACACGAAGATTAACATTTGCGAAATACTTAGAAAATAACAGTTTTAGCTCTCTTGACATAGTTTCGGATGCAGGGCCGAAATATGGAAGAGAGCAATAANATCATTACTTTAAGTACGCAATTTTTACTCTATCTTACCACGCCTCTATAACTTCATCATCAACAACCAAAGCCCATCACCACACTATCCCATTTTCATCATTCTATCATTATTATTATTAATATCATTATCATTATTATTTATTATTATTATTAACAATAATAATAATAATAACAATATTATTATTATTATTATTATTATTATTATTATTATTATTATTATTATTATTATTATTATTATTATTATTATTATTATTATTATTAATATCATTACAAGATTACGTTTCAACATAAAATTGGTTTTGCATATCAATTCTGAAATTGATATAAGCTATTTTTTAAATTTTTATATATATATTCATTTTTCGAGATTGAATGGTTCAGATAAAGGCGTTTTTATAAATCGCAAACCGTATATATGATTATCAGCAGGACCAATGAGAAGAACACTCAAGTCATAGCTGGCATGGGCAATAGTGGACGATGAAATTTTTATCATTATTTGCTAGTACATATTAAGTGAATAAAATTAATTCATGATACAAAAAAATCCTAGTCCAACCGTATAGTATTCTTCGGTATTCAAACACCAATTGTGATGAAGGAAATTCAATAAAACACTGCAGAACAATCCAATCATTTATTAAGTTCTTGATATAGAGGCAAATGCTGTAAAAATGGCGATTACCTTTCGGCCACCAAAAGGTGGCTCGTCTGAATTTCAACAAACTTCCACTGACGACGTATAAATCATATTAAATATACGTTAGGCCAGCCCTGACGCTGCTGTACAGCATGATCAGCAGCCCAATGTAGCCGAAGGCTCCGTAGTTCCTCTTGGATGGATCTAGAACAGTTTTCAATCCATTAATTTTTTGCAGGATAAAATTTTCATGAATAGAAACACGAATTTTATTTTCATATGAAATCTTTTCTCCTCTTGAAACTTCCTAAATGTTTGGGTTTAAATTTTGCAATCCGAGTTCTTCTCTTTTATTGAAATAAATTATTTGTTTCATTAAGTGGTAAAATTGTATTTTTTTTGAGCCAAGGTAGCAACTTTTGAGCTCGGTTACTATTATCTACCAGTCATCGGAGTATTACCAAACATTTATCTACAAATGATCATAATTCTATCCTATCCGGTGTGGGTATATATAGGATATATATAGGATTTGACAGAACCCAAACCCATACCCAACACATACTACATTTGATGTAGTATCCTGTTCTAATCTAATCTCCGGCGTTATAGTATCCTACATATCCTACCTCCGGTGTAGTATCCTACATATCCTACCTCCGGTGTAGTATCCTACATATCCTACCTCCGGTGTAGTATCCTACTTATCCTATCTCCGGTGTTGTATCCTACTTACCCTCCCTCCGGTGTTGTATCCTACTTATCCTACCTCCATTGGCGTAGACCACGCGGCTGGCGATCCAGAGGAGCCCAGCGGCGGCGCACAGACAGCTCTGGTACATGCCCCCCAGCAACAGCAAACATAGGAAGCTAGGGTAGACCTCCAGTCTGTGGGCAGGGACATTAATATAGCTTAGCGGTGTATGTGTTGAATAAGCTGTTGGACCCATGGTTGAACTATATAGGGTTGACCCACGAGAAGTTCCGTCTTTCAGTTCAGCTTTCTTGTTACGTCACGTAGAGCGAGAAACGTAAACAAACCCGCCATTCCCATGACGGATTGGTTGACTGGTTTGATCGCATTTCGGTGATTGGTTAATGCCCGTGACGTCACTGAGGTCAGTGACGTCACAGGCGAACAACGAACTACATCCGCAAAAAAATGGGCTTCTGATGGGTCAACCTTATACTAGTTCAACCATGGTTAGACCTGTCGAAGATTCTGAAAATCGCAGGATATTCGCGGCTTGTTGTGGGTCTCGAAGACGCAACTCACTGCTCCGATTTTGCTGCGTTTAATTGAGCACACATTTGACCAGAACTGTCGCAGGCAGCTAAGATCAAACCCATAGCTCACTGATACAAACCTAGTACTCTGGAACTGTAGCTACTGGATTATCCTGCCCAGCTACATTTAAATCTAATTCTGAATCAAAATGATCGCCTAATTTAAATGACATAACTTTATCAAAAAATATCAAGCGCCGAGAAACAGGGTATAAATTACGTAGAGCTGATAGAAATCTTGACAGTGGCATTAATGAGATTAATTCAAATCATGAAAGTCATATTACAGTAGATGAAATATCTTACGGGTTTTGGAAAATATTTTTAAAAAGGCTGAATGCAGCAGAAATATCAAGTAAATCTATTGTTCAGGGTACATACTAATAGTGTTTTGATTTGTACCCATACTGTTTCCATGCATCATATAATGTGACCGAAATGCGTAGCATCACATTCAAGAACATATGCCAGTCGGCAGTGATAAGCACCAGCTTTATCTTTATCTGATAATAAGAGGCAGATCTTCGTCCCTCTGTTACCAAAGTATACAGAAATAAATAAAATACATCTTAACGTATACATCTTAACGTATACATAGATCTTGACGTACTTCAAGGCCTTGTCGCGTGAAGTTGACAGAGTACTTATACCTCCTGATTGCTTCAAAACTAAAGACTTAATTAGCTTTATGAATATTTTTTCAAATTTCGTTCAAGAGAAAGATGCAGTAGAGAGTATAAATTTCAAATAATTAGCATTGTGGATAGGAGAAAGGATCTAATTCATGAATTCCTAATTCCATCTCGTAGAAAAGAATTCCCTATCACATCCCTAGAGGTTTATTGCCTTTTTCGACATGGTGTTTGAAAAGGTTACCTATGAATTAACCCTCTGTTTATAGATAAATTAACAGCTGCCAATGCTATTCTCGTCTATTAGCTTGGCAACGAAAGCCTCTGTCGTAGACAGGTTCAACCTCTCGATCAATAATATTTTGAGGCAACCTGATATACCATCGAAGCAGTACGGTTCCTTATATCAATACTTATGCACCTCGTTGTCATTCCCCAACATGACTGAAACATATAATCACATACACAAACTGATCGTGACAACGATTGATACATCCATAAAACAAATGATTAACTTTACAGTACTTGCTACATTAATTTTGCTTTGGCCTTACGTGTTCTGGTGCGCTCGCTGGTAGCAGTTGAAGAGGTTGTCCTTATCGCTGTACATCGTCGGGTATTTGATGCCGGTCTTCTTGCGCATCTTGCCGACCTGAGTCAAGTGAATAGTGAACTAAAATGTCACCATAGTGAACAAAACGCAATGAAAGACAAAAATCGTATCCTAAGCATGTTGGAACGGTAGTGCGATTCGATATTTAAAAAATATAACTCAGTACTCACTGCAGTGAGTGACAGAGAGCACATTTTCTCGTCGACGAAAACTTGAAGTCACAGACGGACAGACAGACGGACGGACAGACTGACATAGCGAGCACAATAGTGCATTTTTTCCATAAATGAGAAAATGCGCTAATAAACGTCATTTCTTTCGGCGTCAGTGACCCAAATATCATGTTAACTTGCACGCATGTTAACGAATGAGAATTATACAAGTATATATCAAAAGACATCTGAATAATATTATAATTTAATACTTAGGACGGTTCACGACACCTGCATGCCGAGCCACATGAGCAGGAAGTAGGACAGAGCAGCCACGATGATGCAGTAGCCGTAGCCCTCAGGTACCTTCAGCCTCACCATGTCAGCCATGCTTAACGATGTCTTACTGTATTTAGAGGGACATTCATTGAAATAACTCGTTATAATAAGGTTAATAATGTAAATATGTTTAATTAATAGAATTGCTAAAAAGGGTAAAGTGACACTAATGAAAATAATGTGTTTGATAAGGTTTTAAATGGTAAAACTATAATAGTATTTGTCCCTTCAATTGCTAAAGGAAGTCGGGTCCCTGTAGGGAATAACAATTTCTCAACGATCAAGTCACCAAAATAAAATTTTTTATAATAAAAAATAAGAAGTGTATGAGACACGATCCCGACGTACCTAATAAACGAATTTACTTACAGTTATTCAGTGAATTACGGAGGCTATTCCAGTTAAACATCAATATTATTGGCTATAGCGAAAATTTTTTAATGTAGGAACTGTATGCTTCAATTATAATTCAATTGCGAGGTTAACATTGTTAAATGAAGGGAAAATTCGATGGCTTGTATAGTAAAGGGTTATTAATTAGGGAAATATTAAAAGCAATATAATTCATTGTAGTTGTATGTATCTTATATTACTCAGTCATTACCGTCTAAGTCTCGTAGCTTATTCGTGAACTGCAAATACTAATAAATCATTCATAATCTCTAATGATATATTTTAATTCACTCATAACTTTCAGGGATAAGTGAACTTTCAACGACGAGATGTCTATTAATTACCTTCAATGTTTAGTTATTCTTTCATTGCATAATCGATTTGTTGTTCTTTAATTACCATCGTCGATTAGTTATTCATTCATTACCTTAATCTATTAGCTACTCATTCATCACCTTCATATATTAAGTAATCATTCATTACCTTCATTAATTATTTCCTCAGTTATTAGCTTAATCGATTGGTTACTCATTTATTACATTTATCAATTAGATAGTCATTCACTACCCTCATCGATAATTTCGTTATTCATTACCTTCATCTATTAGCTACTCATTCATCACCTTCATATATTAGGTAATCATTCATTACCTTCATCAATTAGTTACTCAGTTATTAGCTTCATCGATTGGTTACCTCATTTATTACATTTATCAATTAGCCAGTCATTCACTACCCTTATCGATTATTTCATCATTCATTACCTTCAGATGACGAAGAAAAATCAGTCAACCTTCAACTGGTCTGCCCTGCGCGACGTCTCTCTCTTGAATGACTTGCAGCATCCAGACTCACCCGAGTCAATCTCATACATAATCAATGCTTCACTTATAATCATTGCATCATTGGTTCACTTATAATGTTAGCTTCACTTATCAGACGCTGATAACAGTGTCGTTACCGCAGACAAATGATCTGATTACTTAGCTACAGAGCACTGTAATGAATGATGCAGGTACAGAACACTGTAATGAATGATGCAGGTACAGAACACTGTAATGAATGATGCAGGTACAGAACACTGTAATGAATGATGCAGGTACAGAACATTGAATAATGTAGAAATAATGTGGTATAATAAATTATTTACGACTGGTTAGGTTCGAGATGCATCTGCAAATCCGAAGCGTGAAATGGTAGCAAAAACTCCAATGAGCTACAAAATCATAATCCAAGCCCTTACTTTCTCTTGAAAGTATTTAATTTGCTCACAATACTTTCTTGTGAAAAATACGAGTATAAGGTACTGTAGATCGCGATAACACTCAGAGAAATCGATGAGACGCTGTCGAAATTTCGATGCGATTTTGCGCTTATGTGGGTCATTTTAACACAGTTTAGTAAGGAAAAAACGTATCAGTGATACACGCAGTCAGTATGTCATTATTCGGAATATATGTATCAAATTAAAAAAGATTGCCGTTTCGCGCTAGCTATTCCAGTAAGTCTTATGGGTCGTAAAGCCATATGGTATCTAAATGAACTCTGGAATGCCGCGAGGATTCTATCTCGTAACCTCTACACTGTCAGTGAATTTTCAGCTGTTTCCAGGAATGAAGTGGGGCAAGCAAAGTAGAATGGCTAACAATATTTATTATTCGGAGAGAGAATGGCAAATAAATCAACCACGCCTGAGCTCAGCCGACCGTCACCCGATCTCTCGCCCACTTACAGGTTCCCTGTAAATTACAGAAAAAGAGAAAGTGAATAGATTTAAAGTAAGGAACAAAGTATAGATTTATAGATTATTTTAGCACTTAAATTCATTACACTACACTTATTGGCGAGGCCAATAAGTGTAGAAAAGAGACTACTAAATCAGGTTCCTTAGAGTCCCCAAAATAGTATAAGGCCAGGAATCAAGTGGCCAACCCTTTCCCGTACCTCGAATAGTTCGTAGGATCGAAGTGCAATGAAGGCCTCCAGTAGTAGACTCCGGGACCGTCTCCACATGGGAGACGGTCCCAGTAGTAGACTCCGGGACCGCCTCACTCCGGGACCATCTCCGTCTCAGGTAAGCGCGTGTGGCAGGTGGAGTAGAGCGGCAGCGTAAGGTGTGCTCTGGGCCCTTTCAAAAAAAAATTAAGAGATCGTAAGTTCATCAGCCAATCATTGACGGCCTTTCAAGCAAAATCCACCAATCATAGACAAAAAAAATAGAGCGTAAGTACTTACGTTCACTTAGCGATTTTTAAAACTATGGCCCCAGAGGTCAGTAGATGGTTACTTGGTTAAGATGAGGCGCGTCACCGACTGAAGTATTGGCGCCCAGTAGATGGTCTAGTATAGGAAGACTAAAGGGAACCGAGCAGGCCTCGCAGTTTTCTTCTCAAGACGGAAATTTAAAGAAGAGGGGAAAATAATTGGCCACAAGAAATCTTTACTGAATTGATTATGAAAATCTAGTACCGTCACAATGTAAAATTGTGCAGAATAAAATTGAAAATCGCATATGAAAACAATTCCTGATGAGCCAATTTGAGTTTACATTTTGTTACGCATAAAATGTGCATTACTCAATTTCGGAATTTATGCAATTGAATTTTTTTCCCTTGAAGGTTAAGTTCTCAAATCGGCCGACTCAAAATATTTGCGAGCACGGATATTTTCAACTATAATCCTGAGAAATTTGTGTTTGGAAGACACTTCAAAGTGATTTACCCAAGACAAAATTCAAATGTAAAATTAGGAGAGCTTATGTTCGTTCCTAATTACAGACCTGAAACTAAATAATAGGGCAGGTACTCAATTCATACCAACAAAAGTTTTCCAACGGTCGTAAAGAAATTTATTATTTACATTAGTTCACAGCCATCACCGAGCAGTCTTCTCCAAATTCCAAAATAAAGACCTGCAATTTTTTATTGAGCAGCTAGCAGCATGAGCGTTCGTGATCATAAATGCTATGATAACACAGACAAACTTTAAGCAAAACATAATATCTGGTTATTTATTTACATAATAACACTTAAATAACGTATTTAAATAGATTCATAGCTGAAGTTGTCTGGAAATCCCCAAACTTATTCGAGGCGTTTTAGAGTTTGTGCGCGGAATTAAAGAATATTGAAAATATTAGTGAGAATATTATAGGATATTATATATCATTTGTTCGCTATTTAAGTTGGAGAAAATTTAGTAGGCTTCACAATACGCAACTGACGACAGCAAGACACAGACTTGTTCATTAGCATCGTTCCCATTTTATGTGGGAGATTAATTAGAAATTTTACCGATTCATGTTCCAATTAATTGAAATTATGTTCCGTTTTACTGTAACGGAGACCTTAGAGATTAAGTTAGATTAAGTATTGATTTCGAGAGAAATTTTGAAGCATTAGGGGCTCAACTTTTGACTGGCTTATATGATACGGAGGTGACTTAAATGGTGTTCTAGGCTACTGTATTGCCCGCAGTGACCAGAGTGCAATTTCACTTCCTATCATCTTTTTGATTTAATGCATGCTATGGGCCCTTTATCATGATTAATGCATGCCACGTTACTATTTGGTTTGACCCAACTTTAAGACGTCTCTGACGCATTAATTAAACTTGGCAGTATTGCCGGCTTTCTAGCCTATTAACTTTGCGCCCTGTGGGGCTTTAACCCTATTAATTTAGTCACGTTGGGTCTACCAAGTCATTTATTAACATACTAACCATTGCACTCAATTACACTTGCAAACACCTATGTACCTCTAAACGGCTTCCAAGCCACTTCTAAATTTACCCCAGCGGTAATAAATTAGAAGGTTAGTCGCGAATATTTATTCTTAATTTTTAATAAATTGCTCAATATATCTTGATCCTCATAATGATAAATTGCATACGATACAATAGCACTTGCTGATCAATCTAATCTTAGTTTGTAACTGTCAATATACAGTATAACCTCCGGTATATCCTCATACGTCGCATCTCTTTGCCGTGTGATTCAAGCCTCCAGTGCAGCCAGCGCGACATTATTTCTGCTGTACGCGTTATTTCATTTGAGGTTAGATTGGGAATATGCGTTCACTGTCAAGTTTTGTACCGCTGAATTGGAATTTCTGAGCATAATTGATCAAATCGATTCTCAAGCTTTGGCATTCATTAAGTAAGGTTTCTTTTTCTAATTTCAGTTTCCTCAACTGCATCCACTGCAGTTCCGGTTTTCTACTTCTCTGGATCCGAAGCTTATCCTTTGGAGTTTCAATAAAATTGTTAGCAGTTATGTTTGTATAAATTCCTTACAGATTAATTTTTTGGAATGGAACTAGAATTATCATTTGAATTTATGTTATTCACATAATAAAATACTCCGGACGACATTTTTTTACATTACTCTGAATTCCAAACATAGTGTCGATTTTATTGTAATATTTGTATTTATTGTATTGTGCACAGCACCTAGATCGAGAGTATGACCTTCGTTATAATATGCTAATTTTAAAATGAATAACATTATACAAATCTTTATTCATATGTTAATGCAACTTTCTCCTCGGCAGGATCTCGATAAAAACAATGGATCGCCACACAATCATCCAGTCGATGCTCACAGCTGCTATATACCTAGCCACAGCAGCTGTCATTTGTTCTGCTACTGTTTACCAGACAGTTATTCGTGATGTGCAACTGTCCGGTCCTAATATAATCACAATTGACGTTGTTAACGAATGTAAGTTTATTAGAAGCCATTTAAGTATCTTTGAATGAGTCTTAAAATAATGAATAAAAAACTGTTTTTATCATTTTCTCGGCATCTGCAATAAATTTAATCTCGTATCGTAACGCAGACTCATGCAGAGCTCGTTGCGGCTCACAAAGCAACTGTACGGGCGCCTCCTACGACGCCGTGGCTGACGTCTGCCTCATGACGAACGCGAGCCCCGCCAGCGTCACAGTGCGTCAACTGCTGGACTCCACGGCCTTCTTCAAGTTCGGTGAGTGTCTTAAAAAGCCAACATACCGTGATCAATGGCACTAAATCCTTTATAGCTGGTATATAAATAAATATATTTCGTTTTCAGAATTTAAATGTCACGAATAAATCTATTCAACAAGTGGTGTTATTCTTGCCTTTTGGCCGGTAAAGTTGGCTTGGAGCCTTGGACCGTCACCGTCAAAAATTTCGAACTTCAACTGCCTTTAATTTTGCATTGAATTGAATATTGAGTATCAAAGTATTAAGCTACATAAAAAAGACGACCAAAGCCATCACTTCCACCCACAGTGTTTACTCCACTGCCTGAGGTCTTCCTGAGCGAAGGATCTGCCAAGGGATCGCTTGCCAACCAGAGGACGCTGTGTGGTGCGATGGACGGCGTTCCTCTCATCATCAACTCACGGGAGGTTTTGAACATCGCCAAGGAAGTCATGAGTAAGTGACTTTTTCTGTGACTTTTGCAGACAGTGGAATTTCTGCTCGAGACTTTAGCGATCGAATCTTTCGTAATTTTTCATAAGCTTAAATAGACATGAGCTTTGGTAGATAGAAAGACATTGATCAGTATTCGCTACATCTTTAATTGAAGCTTTACAGCATTAGGCTTTGACTGCTTAGCTTCCCTCTAACTCAGTATGTTCGGTTATAACTAATGTCATTTGACAGTGAGACGCATAGATATGAGTCTTCTTCATAGCACTCAATCCTATATAGCCGATGTATTGATTAACCTAAACCAAAATTTGACAAAATATATTTATTTTCATTTTACATATGCACCAGGAGTGCGTTCTGCTTTGCGAACCGAAAAATTTGCTTGGACAGTCGCCGTCAAGAGTCCGAACGGATCGTACATTTGGCCCGATGGCACGTACCTGAACACATCGATCTTCTACGGAGTTGACACCAATCATGTCTTTTTCACCGGACCGGCCTCTTTCCTGCTAGACTCGGGCAAGCTCTTCGTGAATGTAGCCCAGGGAATATCAGGAAAAGTACCAGCGTTGTGCGCTAAATCAAAAGTTTAAATCCATCACAAACTTGATGTTCGGTTGAACAAATTTGAAGATTGGTGTTAATCCTGCCTGAATTGTTGGTCCACTGAATTAAGATGGATATTTTCACCCGTAGTGACCCACCACATTATAGGCCACTAAAACTAGCAGCTGTACCACATTTGCCGACGTATGTGAGCTAAAGAATTTAATCTAATATATTTGACTGACATGTACGGCAGCGTGAAGGTTATGCAGGACTAGAAAAATTGATTAACAATGCATAGAAGCCCCTTTATTATGAATTCTGAATAGCATATGCTATCAGCCTATTGCTGTACTCTAACAATTTTGATCTTCTGGAATTAGTTTATTTGTGTTTTGCCACGTGTTAATCTGTATTAATACTAAAGAATTATTTCATGTGTGCTATCCTCGTAATATTCCTGTATTTTCATCCACATTTTGTGTTTTTTTTCGAGGGATATTTCTGTTTTTTTCTGCGAAATCGTTTCGTAAATGTTTTTGTTGTACATCTAAATTGATAGTCTGAATAAAATCTTTGGGGCTTTTTCTCTTGATTTCTCTGTACAGATATTTTGGGAAAACTTTTTAGGTGATTTTTTTCGACTTTTCTGTTGATATATTTTTGATCTAACTTCAAGATGGCTTCCATCTTGATATGACTGAATTGACATTCTCAAATAATTTTGTAGTTGTTTTCTTATCGATATTTCCGTATTAATCTTCTAGAACAATTTTATGTGTGCTTTCCACGTTCGCCATAACACAGCGGGCAGTGATCATACATTCGTCCCTTCTTCATACATTAGTCCCTTCATCGTGCATTCACTATTAGCGTTTTTTAAATCTAATGAGTCACATTTGCACGAGGGACTTAAATTTAAATGTCTACTCACAATACCATCATGGAAATATCTCTGAAGTGTGCACCAGTGTTATAAAAATAACGATTTTATTTAGTTTAAGCCGGTATCCGGAATACATAGTTCAAACGTCTATTGTGTATGTTGAAATTGTGCTGAGCAACGAAATATTGTCTCCGTATTAGTCGGCGATTCAAGCTACAAAGTCCACCTGCACAGTATTGTCAATATCTTGTCATGATCAGGTCTAAGTTAATACAACTGACTGCCACGTATCGTTCAATTATTGTGCTTCTAACTTCGAAAAAACTTTTCTCGAATATCAGGGGAAAATAATTAATAGAAAAATAATACGGAATCGGTCTTTACATTTGCCCATAATTAATTAATACCACCATAAATTTTCCATTAACCTCGATTTCTAATTTTCATTCATTGATATTCATTAACTATATTGGGAATTTCTAAGAAATTCAATAAAAATGAACGTATAAGTTATGAGCAGAACATATTTGTAATAATTTTTATCTATGGTACTGCGTTTTCTACCACCACCATTTATATCATTGTGTATTGACTCATTTATTCTTGGATATTTCCAATTTTGACGATGGAAATTCCTCTTCATTGTATTTGCGATTTTTTATACATAAAACGCTTTATATTTGTCTTGATAATGCATATATATTGCGTGTGTTTAGAATATGAACAAATACACGTTGATCATTAGGCAATACATTTATATTATGATGACTCTTTTACTGACACCGCACAAGATTTCGATTTAATATCTTAAGGATCTCTTTCGATGCATCTCAAGACTAAAGTGTGAATTATCGAGTGTTATATATCTTGCATTTCTAAAATATCGATTTATGTGTTCATTATTTGTACTTTTTAAGGCTCCGAAACTTTCCATTTGGGTATTGATATTTATATCAATGCGGTTAAAAATCCGACATGATAGTGTGTCAATAGAAACTTCATGTATTTATAATATTTTTAGTGTTTTTTTGTCATGGATAAAGTTTGCATTCATCGAAAAATTTTGTTTTCTGTTCATAGAATTCGAAATTTCTATTGATGCGCAACATTGCTTGCACAAATGCCGCTCAAAACGATCTTGTTAACATAAGTAATGTTAGTGCTAAATTTCAGCTTCACAGTCATGTCTTTCACGATTCATTTGTCAACGATCTTAGTATGAGTCACGATCTTAATATGAGTCACGACCTTAATATGAGTCACGATCTTAATATGAGTCACGATCTTAAATCTTAATATGAGTCACGATCATAATATGAGTCACCATCTTAATATGAGTCACGATCTTAATATGAGTCACGATCTTAATATGAGTCACGATCATAATATGAGTCACCATCTTAATATGAGTCACGATTTAAATATGAGATCGATATATTATATCGATGCTGTCTGGCAATTTAGGTATCCTATTCACAATGGGATATAGATATACGTATCTATTTTATTTATGTATTTGATAGGATATATATTGCGTTCCAGTGTTACTAAACAACACAGTGTCATCAGCAATAACGTCAAAATATCTCGTGGTACATTACATATTTTAAAGTATGTCTTTATTTTATAGTATATTTTTTAGAGCATAGCATTTCCAATGCCATGCTCTAAATATTTCTAAAAAATCTAAATATTTCTAGGCAGGATTAGGGCGTATCGCAAAACGACTCTGGATTTAAAAAAGTAATTGTTTTTTAATTGTTTTTCGATTATGTTTAAATTGAATTTTGATGTAAAATGTAAGCTCAAAAAATCTTTCAAATTTCAAATGAAACTTAAATGTAGGTTCTTACTAATACGAGGGTTTGAAAAAGTCTTTATTAATTTAATATTTTTTTGTAGAGGCATTACCTGCATACCTGCCCAGACTAATCGATGCTTTAACTCAAATTTCTAAGAATATCTACCCCCTGCACCACTGTAATTATAAAATTCAAATAAGGCTGAAATCGTATTAAGGCTAAATTTTTTTCTTGCTGGAAATTATACCGAAAGAATAATTGAAAATTCTGGTAAGAATACAATGATAATGGAAATAGAAAATATAACTTGAACGGCTCCATTCATACTGCTTATTTTGGAAACATAACAACTTAATTTAATTCATAGATTTTGGCTACGTTGAATTTGTTACTGTTCACGAAATAAATTATCCGTCACCAGTATTGAAAATTTGTGTCCACATTTGCTAGATGTCGACATATAATAAATAAAACAGACAGCAATCGTGGAATAATTACCAGACACATAACTTCTTCAGATGCCAACTAATAATATGAAGTGTCGATCATTTAGATTTCCTGGACAATCTTTTGCTGGATAACTTCAGGCCATAAAACTTTATTAGGCTCATTCAATACCGCTTGCTGTGACTAATTTCCTTTGCAAGTGTTGAAAATTCACGAATTTATTTTGCTCACAGAAAAATTGCTTCAATATTAATTTGTTCAAGGATATATTTAGTGGGAGTTAATGAACTTTATTTCTTCGAGTTTATCGTTCGTCAAGTTTATCTAAATATGATGATGAAACTGTTTATATCCCAGAAGTTTTCATTCTCACGTAAAGTTATTCTGCACACTGATTTGTGCAGATTTTGAATAATATTGATGGCAAAAATTTTCCAACGTTTAAAAAAGAAAGGTTGTAATTTTTTATTTTGTATACTCTCTCTCCATAGATTACTCGGCAATTCGCATTTAAACGTAGTTATTCAAATCTTTAAATTAAGTCGGAAATCAGAATTTTCTAAATCAATATGACGATTTAAGTTAATTTTTTTATTGAATTCAAATTATTTTATTACGCCGATTATAGCGGTGAATTTCATCAACACTGTAGAAATGAAAAATTTTACATCGTTGGCTCTTTTTAAGTTAGTGTGGTTTGAAAATGTATTTAAAGTAGTTCATGCATTGCCAAATGGGAGAAAGCAGCACAGATTTTTTATTATCCTGGGTGTTTTACGTCGAGGGAATCGTCATCATTCTAGGGTTTGGGTCGCTTAATAATAATAATCGACCGTTCATAGTTGAATTCCATGCGATTGATTATTCTTTATACATTACAGGACATTTAGGTAATTATTGTGAGCTCTCATTCTGTGCACGTCATGCTGACAACACGACGCTTAAATGCATTAGTAAATAGTAATGCATCCAGTAGTAGACTCCGGGACCGTCTCCACATGTATTGCTCCGGGACCGTCTCCACATGTAATGCTCCGTGACCGTCGACCGTCTCAGGTAAGCGCGTGTGGCAGGTGGAGTAGAGCGGTAGCGTAAGGTGTGCTCTAGGCCGGTTACTTGGTTAAGGGGACCGTTTCGCCTAAAATTTTCAATTATGGCGTTTTCCGGTTTTTGTGCTCATCTGAAAGCTGGAATTCTGCTCTTTCCAATGGTACCACTGCCATCGCTGTACGCCAATATTTACGTTCATGACGTCTCTTTAAAGGGAAGCGGGTGGGAGAGTTCTTTAAGTAATTAGATATAAAGTAATTAGCTGCTGAAATATTTGAATATGGTTTCTACTTGAGTTGTGCTGCAGTTACATGCTTAGTCTCATCTTAAAGCTGACATTCTGAGCTTTTCAACGATACCACTGCGATCCTTGTACGTCAATACTGACGCACACGGCCTGGCTTTAAATGGGGGCGGGGGTGGAGTTCCTTCACTAAATAGACCTAAGAAAATTAGAGCGGCAAGACTACATATTTTGGTGTATCTGGCATCTGAGCTCAGTTACCCTCCTAACTTTGTACGTAGAGGTGCGCTACAAGTTGCTGCTAGCATCCTTGAGTGGATTAAGCTACAGAAGCCTGTAGTTTGGTATCCATGCTACATTGAGTGCCTATTTCGAGGCGCACGAAACTTTGTCGCGCCGTCCTGAAAAGTTCAACTTATTGTCACGGAAAACCTATCTCCTCCTGCAGTTTTCAAGCTACAGCAATGGGAGATATATCATTCGATTCTTAAGGAATAGCTCTACAAACTGCGTGTATAGTTTTTCCTATTTCATTATAGTTTGATTATATACTGGAAAAAAGGGGAGGGGGGGGAGAATTTTTGTTTTTTTCTTTAAATCCCCCTCCATCAGGAACAAATTCGAAATTGAAAAAACTGAACACGTGAACGCTAGATATGGTCTTTACGGATCGAATGACATGTGTCTCGACCTTGTAGCATATATACTGTAGGAGGAGATAGATTTCTAAAGTACCCCTTTATTTCTTCGTTTTCTATTAATTTCACGTTTTCTTTCGTTTTTTTTCGAAAAATTCACACGAACAAAAACAATTTTGTTTTACATTTTACATATGTGTACCGAATTTCAGAATGATCCGCCCAAAGGTATACGATTTATTATTTGCGCGAGACGCGTCACCGACTGAAGTATTGGCGCCCAGTAGATGGTCTAGTATAGGAAGACTAAAGGGGACCGAGCAGGCCTCGCAGTTTTCTTCTCAAGACGGAAATTTAAAGAAGACGAGAAAATAATTGGCCACAAGAATTCTTTACTGAATTGATTATGAAAATCTAGTACCGTCACAATGTAAAATTGTGCAATATGACCCATCCATCTTTAATTGTACCTTACACTCCCATCTTTTTACCAAGTTTTCAAAATTCCTCCGTTCAGAAATACGAAATACATTTATGAAATAAAAGTACAGCCTTTTATCATAAATGCTAACCATGGTTGGCATTTACACCCGGTCGTCGTTTCTTACTCCTAATGCAATCCACACCCGTCTTCTTGTAAATACCACTTTCTTGTTTAGTCTCGACCTTTATTGTTCGTTAGCGAGGCAGAACGATGCAAAAAAATTAACACACGACCCAAATAGAATTGAATTGCATTATCTATGGTAAAAGTATTCCGAATTTTATTTTACGCATTCGATAATTCCGGACACGGTTGATTGTGCGCGGTCCGAGTTCCGACTATATACTTCAGTCTTCAGTACGTCAGGAAGAGGCAGGGGTTAGATTGAGTGGTACACTGACTGAGCGCTCGTTAATCGTCAATAATTGTTCTTCAGTTCATTTTTTGGAGCACGCTCTTGAGATATGGCATCTCGATGGCTAAGAACAAAAACGGGTGAGCTTTCACTTATGTATCTATCATCTAGGTATCTATAATAATAATTATTTATTTTTTACAAATATCCATGTTAAGAATAATTTTAGCTTAGAATTGATATTGTTAAGCTTGATGTCATGATGTAGCATCATTGGCATTGCTATAACACTAATGGGTGATTGATCTAGATCCCAAGCCCTAAACTAGAATAGCTTTATAGCTCGGTTGTGCAAATGTTAGGTACATTGTCAATTTGTCATTCATAGATGAGCTTGCTTACTGTGCTGTGTATGTTGGTAGAGACTAGAGAAGTGTTAGATCTCTTGGATGCTCTTGCTAGCTGCTAAGTTCTACATTTTAATGCAATTTTTTCTTGCTGATGAAACCATTTTTACTAGAATTAGGATAAATTTAGTTTCACATTGGCTCTTTCTGTTGATAAGTAAGCTTGTTCACTGACTAGACTAAAGCCTTTAGACTTTAGTCTAGGTGAATGGTGAACACTGCCTTTAGTAAAGACAATGTTTCCTTTTATTTCCAAATATGTGGACAGTAGAAGCAAATGATCTGATGTTGGGTTATCATGTGCATGCCTCGTGATTGAAATATTAATCTGATAGTAACAACCTTTTAGTTTTTAATATATGGCTATACACTTACGTTTTAAAAATTAAGTACTTAATTTTTGGTCTAACAGGCACACAGGAACTTTTTGAAATCATTTTGGCAGAAATATTTCTGAATCAATCCAGCAGTACACATGAACACAAAAGAGCTATCCACTTGCAAAGAAAAATATTATAATTTTTATGAGTCTTTAAGTCATGAAAGTTTTTTTTTTTTTTGGCCCTCCAAATTCAGGGCTGCTTGTTGCTTACCTATATTTGTTTAAATATTTATAACTGAACTGATATGTTAAAATAAAATGATATAAGTACTCAGCAGTCAGCAATAAGTTAACAAAACTTGGTTATCAGCTCCTATTAAGCCTTAAGGTATATTTAATCCATTGTGTTTATAAATCTTGTACTTTCAGTGCCGCAGTTGTTCCGGCAAGCTTGTAATGAGATTCCTGAAGTGATGGGAGCTGGTGTTTTTGGCCTCCTGGGTAAGAGTCTGTATTGTATAAGTATATATTGTAATTCTTGCCTGTTTTCTTTCAAATCAATTATCTCAGCCAATTGATCCATTATTATGAACTAAAATATTGTTCATGTTGTAATTTGTTCATAGCTCAATTAAGCTTCTCCATCATATTAAATAATGGCTTTTTAGCTTCGATTGAATCATGCTGCAATTACTTAAATGTAGAAATATGATAGTGTTGACATAAATAAACATGAAATTTCTTAGATTATCATGCCCTAACTTGTCTGAATTTTCAGTTTCACTTCACACAAAAGGTTTAATTAATCTCAAAGACTTTTAAGTTTTGAAATCAATCAAGTAACCTTGATTAAGTCTTACAGGAAAATATTCATAGCAAGTTAATATCAAAAGCATAACTGAAATTAGTCAGACCTATCACCAATGCCTTGTGGGTAAACCCTGCCAATAAGTATAAATACCTTGCAGGCATTTACCATGTGCTGTTTGAATAATGCAGTTACTGTTAGAATAATGCTGTTAATAAGTAAATACACACATGTAAACTAATACATGATTGAAAGTTAAATATTTCTTCTTATTGAATACATTGATGCTACTAGCAAAAATTATATTGATGGATATATTTCATTGTATCAGATGGAAAAGAGCTGCATTGTGTAGTGGTTTATTTATGATGTTGAAACTAAATTTATCAAGTACCTTCATAGGGGGAGTACCTACATCCATTCAAAACTACGTAGCTAGATATTAAAACACAAATTGCATTACAGATCCCATGCAAGGGTCATTAATTTGAACGAATTAATGTTCCAGGTGCTGTGACGCTCACGTACCTCATCATCAGGGACTACAACAAGCCAGGGCGTAATTGTAAGAAGTACAAAATGGAATTTGTTGGTAAGTTTTGTTGTGTTGTATATGATCATAAGTATCATCAAGTCATTTTGGTAACCATGACTTTCAGTTTTTTAACTTATTTGTATCTTCATTATGCTTTGTTTTTTCTCATTTCCAAACAAATAATTCATGACCTTGATTTGTCCTCCCTATTTTCCTTCGTTCATTACATTCAGTAGCTTGCATATCCGATAACTGGGTTATTTGCAGAAGACTTTTTGTAAGAAGCATTTTTTTTTGTTGCAGTGTACCGGCCTGAGTCTCCCTACGTGCAATACCTGAACTTATACGACACTCCAGAGTCGTTGCAGGATTACCAAGAGGACCTCAAACCTTACCTCAAGAGCCGCTGGAACAGAGCTTAATGTTTCTTTTTCGCAGCGATGCGCGTGCACCTATTGTACATTCTTTGAGATTATATTTGCCTTGACAGCTCTGATTTTTCTGCATTAAATTCGAACATAATTTTTCGACAGCCTCACGATAAGCATAACACGATATAAACACGTGTGGTTTATATAATTGGAGCTCATTTTGACAACGTGATGTCGTTGTGTATCGAAACCATCGTTACGCTTCTTAACACGCAAGATATCGAGGACAACGCGGATTATGAAGTAACATTTGTCATCATCATTAAAAATTTCACAATGTACTGACCTTAACTGAATTTGACAACGCTTCAATGTTGAATTTGTTTTATAATCCACAAACCTTGCCACTTTCTTTTGTTTCTGGGTTAATTTAAATCCAGACCGATGTATTAAACTCTAGCCAAAACAAAATGCTAGCGACACGAATGGCGATTGACAAACTAAATTTGCATCTATAATTTATTATTGGAATTCAACAGCGTATATCGCAGATTAATAACGAATTCAAAAGTAATGAAAATAGAAATTCGCCCTTCAATGAAGATATGGTGGATTTTCTCATTCATTTTCTTCTTTCTAATTTTTGAAATAAAACTTCAAACTCAACCTCAATTTAGAACTGGAAACGCACCGCGGGTAAGGGTTTCAATCTCCTTATGTAAATAAGGTTTTATTCCATAAACATCAACATCAAAAGATCAAACTCAGGCAACTGAAAATATGCGAAAAAACAATATTACTAATACTATCGTAGGAATTGCAATGACAAGGCTTTGCCCTGCACAATATCAAGGAAATCCTACACAATTTTCATAGCTTCTTATTACACGATAATTACATTTATTCAAACGTCAGAGCCGTCTAACATAATGCCATCACGCATTCAAATGGGCGGTATACACTCACTCATATATAGTTTTTCACACAAGACATATAAGGAATTCCAATTAAGTTTCTTATAATCAAATGATTTGGTTAATTAGAAGAAACTGTTCTAAATATTTGTGTAAAACTATTAACATATATAAATGACAAATCAGATCCTAAGAAAAATTGTTCCCAGTATATAGCAATGGACACCCAAACCAAAGCCAACATATAAATGTACAATTCTAGATGTCTTAGAAAACCAACACGCTTGCAGTTATATCCAACAATAGATGATAATTGATCATGAGGCTATTTCATTGAAGTTGATATTGACTGGCGATCATTATACAAGATAACACGCTTAGTATATGCTCTATATTCAATTAATAATTTTCAATAAATTGCACCCACGGAGACGGAATAAGTGGAAGCAAGCATCATGGTTACACAAGGTCTCTGCTGGTGATAGTGGAGCTGGAGGATGAAGGTGCTTCATAAGCCGCTTCACGAAATGGCTTTCGCTTCAGGCAAGAATGATTCCCACACTCTGATCACCTGAAATGTGGAATAAACTACGATGTTATTTCAACACTAAATTCAACTAATGTAAACACAATCTGATAGCACGTTCAAGCATGAGGATTCACATTTGAGAATTCAACAACGTGTGAAGCTTGCATTCTCATCATGCAGAGTTCGTTATTATATGTTAATTGTTGCTGGCATGTGGCAAGGGCAGACTCTTATTCATGACAATGACTCTTATATTCATGACAGCCCATGAACGTACGATATTTTTATGTAGTAATCCAACTCCAGGTCTTAAGGCAACAATAACTTCAATGATGGTTAATATTCATGTAAATAAAGGGGTAATTCTTTGCCTATTAACTAGTACTCGTTACGAAGATTTTAGATATGAATAGCATTAACGACCGTCAGTGTATCCGCAGACGAATTATTGACACAGAGGACTCGCGTGTCACCTGTTGCTGAGATGTGACCATGGACTCCAGGTAGCGGATGAACATGTTCTTGAAGTCCTGAACTCTAGCAATGTCGAAATGTTTCAGCTCTACCTTGATGGCTTCAGAAATTCGTTTGAAGTGCTCTTGGTTTCGTTCAACCTTGGCTTCCCACTGAAAAATTAAGAAATGGAATTTCACAAAAACTGAAATAATCAATGATTAATTTTCTCAGAACATTACGATCTAATGTAGAACTACAATATTCAAGCCATACAAAAAAATTACCCTTAAACGCTACGGCACCTTTCAGGCTTTTAAAAATCTATAAATTTTTTTTTTTTCACGATTTTCACACCAAACAATGTCGGTAAGGCGTCTGCGGTCAGCTGCTAACCTCCTCGACTTCGAGTTGAGCTTGCGCCACCTTATCCTGCCTCGCCGTGAGCTCGAGCTTTGCTTTGGCATCTCTCTTCTTGGCCAGCATCGTCTGACTGTACTGCCATGCCTGGAACACCTTCACCCGCTCGTGGAACACTTCCTGCAACATGGAGAACAGTAACTTATTGGTCAGCATCGTCTGACTGTACTGCCACGCCTGGAACACCTTCACCCGCTCCTGGAACACTTCCTACAACATGGAGAACAGTAACTACTTTATTTAAACAACTAACTCAAAATAAGAGATTACAAGCGACGTAAAAACATAACCGCTGTGAAAAAAATACAAGCCACGCAAATGCACAACCATAGTAAGAGACTACGAGCACCGTGAGAACCAAATGTTTCATTTCAACAAAACCAACCTTCACGGCGCCGATGAGATTAACGTAGTCGCGCGTAGTCTCGCACAGCACATAAAAATCTGCATCAGCCTGCAGAAATAAACAATATTCAGGCTCATGATTATGATATGAAATTGCAATGGCGATAGCAGATAGCACAAGAGATTGAATTTTTTCATAATATTGGCTTAATTATTAGAATTTAATATCACTGTATTTTGTTCTTAACATTGTTGCACTGCAATCGAAACAAATATCGCATGTAATATACGGTACGGCGCGTAGTGAAGTAAACAGGTATAACTGATCTCACCTGAGCGTGGTAGACAGTATGGGTTCTGTCAGTTGCTCTCACCTGAGCGTGGTAGACAGTATGGGTTCTGTCAGTTGCTCTCACCTGATCACCTGGGCGTGGTAGACAGTATGGGTTCTGTCAGTTGCTCTCACCTGAGCGTGGTAGACAGTATGAGTTCTGTCAGTTGCCTCAGACAGTTGGTGCAGAGCTCGGTTCAGAGCGCTGTGCTCCTCTACGCTGCTCAGCACAGCAGCAGCTTTGCTCAGACTCATGCTGCTCATGGCGAGCTCACGGCGCCCTCCAGCCAGACTCTCCAGCGCACCATGGAGCCGACGCAGCTCTGCCTCCAGGGACTCCACTTGGTGCACCCGCTCCTCGAACCACTGCCGCCAAAACCACATTATTAACATTAACAAATAATGTATTGATATTAACAAATAAAGTATTAACATTAACATATATTGTATTAACAACATCTAATGTAATAACATCACAATATTATGTATTAACATCAACTGATAATCGCATGACGTTCATTTTATTATTTGTTTCTTAGAAATATTGATGCTGGTAATGGTTCCCAAAAACATTCACTCTTAATAACGGCCAATGTAGTGGTTCATAAAAATATTGCCTTGTAACTACAGCGTAAATAAGTCGTCCAATAAATACCTGCTCCACTGATAATATTCACTTTCTAATAGTTTTGAATAAGTTCTCAAGTATTACGTATATTTTCATTATGTGTACGATAGTAGTTTAGGTGTAGTACGTTCACAATCTAGAGACAGTGACACTCCTTTCTTCATCTTATATACGACAAAGTACTTCAAAGAATTTACATTCAATTTACAACCCATTGCGCCTGCATATAAAAAAAAGGTTTTGCAGGTTTTTTGTACGTTTGTTTCTCCTGTTCAATTGCATTGGCTTTAAAAAGTAATTTTTAAAAGCATATTATTTTATCATCATTTTGCGCTATGTAAACAAGTTAGTGTGGAGAGGGGCAGAGCAGGCGTTCAACAGGAGAGCAGCAGAGCAGGCGTTCAACAGGAGAGGGGCAGAGCAGGCATTCAACAGGCAGGCGTTCAACAGGAGAGGGGCAGAGCAGGCATTCAACAGGCAGGCGTTTAACAGGAGAGAGGCAGAGCAGGCATTCAACAGGAGAGGGGCAGAGCAGGCGTTCAACAAGAGAGAGGCAGAGCAGGCATTCAACAGGAGAGAGGCAGAGCAGGCATTCAACAGGCAGGCGTTCAACAGGAGAGGGGCAGAGCAGGCATTCAACAAGAGAGAGGCAGAGCAGGCATTCAACAGGAGAGGGGCAGAGCAGGCATTCAACAGGAGANACAGCACTACACAGCAGCATGCACAGCACTACACAGCAGCATGCACAGCACTACACAGCAGCATGCACAGCACTACACAGCAGCATGCACAGCACTACACAGCAGCATGCACAGCACTACACAGCAGCATGCACAGCACTACACAGCAGCATGCACAGCACTACACAGCAGCATGCACAGCACTACACAGCAGCATGCACAGCACTACACAGCAGCATGCACAGCACTACACAGCAGCATGCACAGCACTACACAGCAGCATGCACAGCACTACACAGCAGCATGCACAGCACTACACAGCAGCATGCACAGCACTACACAGCAGCATGCACAGCACTACACAGCAGCATGCACAGCACTACACAGCAGCATGCACAGCACTACACAGCAGCATGCACAGCACTACACAGCAGCATGCACAGCACTACACAGCAGCATGCACAGCACTACACAGCAGCATGCACAGCACTACACAGCAGCATGCACAGCACTACACAGCAGCATGCACAGCACTACACAGCAGCATGCACAGCACTACACAGCAGCATGCACAGCACTACACAGCAGCATGCACAGCACTACACAGCAGCATGCACAGCACTACACAGCAGCATGCACAGCACTACACAGCAGCATGCACAGCACTACACAGCAGCATGCACAGCACTACACAGCAGCATGCACAGCACTACACAGCAGCATGCACAGCACTACACAGCAGCATGCACAGCACTACACAGCAGCATGCACAGCACTACACAGCAGCATGCACAGCACTACACAGCAGCATGCACAGCACTACACAGCAGCATGCACAGCACTACACAGCAGCATGCACAGCACTACACAGCAGCATGCACAGCACTACACAGCAGCATGCACAGCACTACACAGCAGCATGCACAGCACTACACAGCAGCATGCACAGCACTACACAGCAGCATGCACAGCACTACACAGCAGCATGCACAGCACTACACAGCAGCATGCACAGCACTACACAGCAGCATGCACAGCACTACACAGCAGCATGCACAGCACTACACAGCAGCATGCACAGCACTACACAGCAGCATGCACAGCACTACACAGCAGCATGCACAGCACTACACAGCAGCATGCACAGCACTACACAGCAGCATGCACAGCACTACACAGCAGCATGCACAGCACTACACAGCAGCATGCACAGCACTACACAGCAGCATGCACAGCACTACACAGCAGCATGCACAGCACTACACAGCAGCATGCACAGCACTACACAGCAGCATGCACAGCACTACACAGCAGCATGCACAGCACTACACAGCAGCATGCACAGCACTACACAGCAGCATGCACAGCACTACACAGCAGCATGCACAGCACTACACAGCAGCATGCCAGCACTACACAGCAGCATGCACAGCACTACACAGCAGCATGCACAGCATGGCCAGTACCTGTCCGTCCTGAACACAGCAGCAAAAGAATCATGACGTCAGCATGAGATAAATTCAAAGACAGCATACATCATACATGATAATCATGTAACATGTTATACAATAGGGCTAGCGAGGGGGGTCAGCAATACTTGTATACATGATAATATTTATCTGTTATCACACATTAGGGGCAGCTGGGAGGCCTAGCAATATACATGATAATCATGTAATCTGTTATCAAATATAAGAGGGTACTAATGCCCCATCATCATTTGACTAAAAGATAAAAAAAAGCATGACCAACAATCTGAATAAAGCACATAAAAAATTTTGATTTTTAATGAAATTGAAATGTATTCTTATTTTTACTATTAATTATATGTGAGTATATTACATATTATTTCCTCTCTCAAGGAGAAAAATCAAGAAAGAGGAGTTAGAGAAATTTTGAATTAAAATGAGGTATAAAATGTCAATTTTATACCTCATGTCAATTTAATCAAATAGAAGAAAACAGGTAAGTGATTAATAAATATTTAGTGAATAATAAATATAGCAACAATCCTTTTTGAAGATCTTAATGAGTCAGGATTTGGTAATATAAGTTAACTTAATAATTAAGTAAAATTATCAATAATGCCTTATCACCTGGTCGTTCTCCTCCATCTTGAAGGTCTTCTTAATCAGTCAGGACATGTTAATATTACTACCTATGTAATTAAGTAAGAGTATCAATAATGCCTTATCACCTGGTCGTTCTCCTCCATCTTGAAGGTGATCTCAATGAGTCAGGCCATCTTAATGTAACTTAGTAAGTAAGAGTACCAATAATGCCTTATCACCTGGTCGTTCTCTTCCATCTTGAAGATCTTAATGAGTCAGGCCATCTTAATGTAACTTAGTAAGTAANAGCTGTAATACACCTTACTACAGCTTTACAGTATGTTATTACAGCTGTAATACACCTTACTACAGCTTTACAGTATGTTATTACAGCTGTAATACACCTTACTACAGCTTTACAGTATGTTATTACAGCTGTAATACACCTTACTACAGCTTTACAGTATGTTATTACAGCTGTAATACACCTTACTACAGCTTTACAGTATGTTATTACAGCTGTAATACACCTTACTACAGCTTTACAGTATGTTATTACAGCTGTAATACACCTTACTACAGCTTTACAGTATGTTATTACAGCTGTAATACACCTTACTACAGCTTTACAGTATGTTATTACAGCTGTAATACACCTTACTACAGCTTTACAGTATGTTATTACAGCTGTAATACACCTTACTACAGCTTTACAGTATGTTATTACAGCTGTAATACACCTTACTACAGCTTTACAGTATGTTATTACAGCTGTAATACACCTTACTACAGCTTTACAGTATGTTATTACAGCTGTAATACACCTTACTACAGCTTTACAGTATGTTATTACAGCTGTAATACACCTTACTACAGCTTTACAGTATGTTATTACAGCTGTAATACACCTTACTACAGCTTTACAGTATGTTATTACAGCTGTAATACACCTTACTACAGCTTTACAGTATGTTATTACAGCTGTAATACACCTTACTACAGCTTTACAGTATGTTATTACAGCTGTAATACACCTTACTACAGCTTTACAGTATGTTATTACAGCTGTAATACACCTTACTACAGCTTTACAGTATGTTATGACAGCTGTAATACACCTTACTACAGCTTTACAGTATGTTATGACAGCTGTAATACACCTTACTACAGCTTTACAGTATGTTATGACAGCTGTAAGACATGTTATTTTGAGCTGATAGCAGCTCTATCAGACAAGAAGTATGTAGATATCCATTCAGCGAGCGGATGATTCTTTCCCTATAAAACCTGTTTCTGATTCTTCACGCGAAAGTCCCCCTGAATTTACCTACTTCACACTATAGGTACTCATCCAGAATTTACCCTAAACTCACCCAGGATTTACCTTCTTCACTCACAACTCACATGGAGTTCACCTTCTTCATCCTCAACTCAGCCGGAACTCACCTTCTTCATCCTCAACTCACCCGGAACTCACCTTCTTCATCCTCAACTCACCCTGAACTCACCTTCTTCATCCTCAACTCACCCTGAACTCACCTTCTTCATCCTCAACTCACCCTGAACTCACCTTCTTCATCCTCAACTCACCCTGAACTCACCTTCTTCATCCTCAACTCACCCTGAACTCACCTTCTTCATCCTCAACTCACCCTGAACTCACCTTCTTCATCCTCAACTCACCCTGAACTCACCTTCTTCATCCTCAACTCACCCTGAACTCACCTTCTTCATCCTCAACTCACCCTGAACTCACCTTCTTCATCCTCAACTCACCCTGAACTCACCTTCTTCATCCTCAACTCACCCTGAACTCACCTTCTTCATCCTCAACTCACCCTGAACTCACCTTCTTCATCCTCAACTCACCCTGAACTCACCTTCTTCATCCTCAACTCACCCTGAACTCACCTTCTTCATCCTCAACTCACCCTGAACTCACCTTCTTCATCCTCAACTCACCCTGAACTCACCTTCTTCATCCTCAACTCACCCTGAACTCACCTTCTTCATCCTCAACTCACCCTGAACTCACCTTCTTCATCCTCAACTCACCCTGAACTCACCTTCTTCATCCTCAACTCACCCTGAACTCACCTTCTTCATCCTCAACTCACCCTGAACTCACCTTCTTCATCCTCAACTCACCCTGAACTCACCTTCTTCATCCTCAACTCACCCTGAACTCACCTTCTTCATCCTCAACTCACCCTGAACTCACCTTCTTCATCCTCAACTCACCCTGAACTCACCTTCTTCATCCTCAACTCACCCTGAACTCACCTTCTTCATCCTCAACTCACCCTGAACTCACCTTCTTCATCCTCAACTCACCCTGAACTCACCTTCTTCATCCTCAACTCACCCTGAACTCACCTTCTTCATCCTCAACTCACCCTGAACTCACCTTCTTCATCCTCAACTCACCCTGAACTCACCTTCTTCATCCTCAACTCACCCTGAACTCACCTTCTTCATCCTCAACTCACCCTGAACTCACCTTCTTCATCCTCAACTCACCCTGAACTCACCTTCTTCATCCTCAACTCACCCTGAACTCACCTTCTTCATCCTCAACTCACCCTGAACTCACCTTCTTCATCCTCAACTCACCCTGAACTCACCTTCTTCATCCTCAACTCACNACGTGAACGTGGGCACCCCACACACACCAACACGTGAACGTGGGCACCCCACACACCAGCAACCCAAAGGTTCAAGCCTCAAGCAGGACAAGTTCTTTCAGGGAGTTCAGCTCATAGCCAACTCGGCTATTCATCCATTTTAGGTAGATAAATGAAATGTTATTGTTAAAATTATTGATAAAATGAACACCCTGGCTTGTCCAGAGCTTTCTGTGATGCAACAAAGTGGTTCTGGCGAGTCAGTGAGCCAGTGATGGCCGTGGAAGTACGTACCTCAGAAAAACTGATACGTCAGAAATGGTACCAACAATCACTCACTTCCTTCCTAAGTAGTCACTACCAGGGTGGGCAGAACACACATATACGCAACTCGTGTGGGAGGTGGAGGTACCCTTAACCAGCACAAGGAGAAAATAATTTATTTGTTTATTTATTGAAGAAAAGTGGTCACCCCGATGGCTCGAGGAAAAGCTCCACACATGATGATGGTGATGGTGAACTCTTAAGTTACGTAAGAGTTGATTACAATCACTCACTTGAAGAAGAGGATGTTGGTGGTGATGGTGAGCTTGTAAGCCATGTAAGAGTTGATCACAATCACTCACTTGAAGAAGGGTATGTTGGTGGTGATGGTGAGCTTGTAAGCCATGTAAGAGTTGATGCCTTCTCCAATCTTCTGAGGCTCACTAAGTATTATTTCAATGAACTCGTTACTGCTATCTCGTGATGCCTGAAGCCAGATGAATAACTGGATTAATACATGGCAATATAATAAATATACAGGAATACACCTTCAAGATGAAACAGATTGAAGAATATCATCATATTGGTTGATCTAACACAATTTTTGATAAAGACCTAAAGACAAAAACATCAAGATACATTACAGTAACATTGTTAAGCAAAACAAGAAAATAAAGCAAAACAATTTGATCTCATAACTGATAAGGTTTTGTTATAGGGAATAACACAGATGGTCAAATCTTCATTAGTGTTCTTAAATGTAGAGAAATAATAGTAGAACAATAAGATCTAGCTGAGACTTGTCTTTCGTCATTGATATTGATTGATTAACATTAATTTTAATTATTGCTAATTAATCAAATAAATAAATTATTTGATTAGTTAACATTAGCATAGTTAAGGGAGTTTCTGGAACCAGCAATTATGCAAAATATTAGAAAACTAAAGAGCATGGCTATAGAGACAAACATTATCTTACCAAAGAAAGACTAAAATCAATCAACAAGAAAGAAAAATAAATATTTATTTAGTCACTGAGGCAATTTAAGAGCAGACCGTTGGGTTGGAGGTGGATTGTGGAGAAGTCGATTGGAAAGCGGATGTTGGTGATGCTAGTGGCACTGGCGTGGGTGGTGTCATTGCATCAGGGTGGAATTCTGCACAAAACAATAAGTTTCATTGTAAGTTATATTCAAGCCTTGTGTTTTAACCTTTAAAAAATGGACATACAACTAAAATATAGTTTTTATACCAAAATGACATACCTACAGAAATTCTGGAAGTGATTAACCACAGTTAAAAATATGCATTACATTAATTCTTCCAGAATTTTTTGCCTAAATATTTTATAATTCATCTAGAAAAATGGAGATTGATGGTCACAGATACATAATAACATACATAATAACAGAGCACAATAGTGCATTTTTTCCATAAATGAGAAAATGCGCTAAAAAATACCTAAATTTTCAATTGTATAAGCACAGGACTCACCAGTGGAGGTCGACACAGGAACATCTCCAGGGGCAGGAGCAATGGCAGCAGCAGGAGGTGCAGATGTAGCAGGAGGCGTCAGAGGAGCTCCCATGGCTGGTAAGAACCCTGCTGTAGCTGGAGCAGGTGCTGTGGTAGGAGCAAGTACTGATGTCAGCTGAGGCTTGTCAAGCAAGCCTCCAGTGAAGAGGCCATCATCATCATCATCCAAGGAGACTTCCTGCAAATGATGTACACTTTAACATAGGGAGCGGTCAAGCTGTTACTTTATATGACATTTTCAGGGAATATTCAAGAGATCTTCATGTAAATAAAACAAAGGCTTTAACTACAGGCAGAATATTGAGGTGAATTTGTGAGAGGTGCTGGAGAAATTTTATGGCTCCATATGGAGTAATTGGTTAGAATTCAAGTTTTGAAAGTCCAAAGACACGTTTGACTCAAAGACTATGCGATTGTTTCGAGAGACTATGGTCTTCAGGCAATTTTTATATACCATTAACTAATGAAGCTGCCTTGTGCTATAAAATTCTTCTCTTTACAAATGCAACATTGAATTCTCTCTCATCAAAAAGTGGGAGTAATTCAAGAGCATATTTGCAACAAGTTTATGTTAAATCCTTCCAAACTAAAGTTAGTTCTTTCAATTTTAAACTGTTAATTTGATCACACTTCAGTCCCAAACATGCAACCGTCTGAAAGTTGTTAAGATTTTTCAAGCAGAAGCAAATTTCAGTGTCATTATGTGAGACTAGATGGAAAGAAAAGAACAAGACATCTCTGGGAACTATCATTTGGCTGCACCCAAGCTCATAATTTCACAGCTTAATCCAACACATGAATGACATAGCACTTTAAAAGTCTTGCAAATGTCATATCAAGTGTTCATTATATATATGCTGAACCCTGTGAGAGAATTTGCAACTGCATTCATGAGCATGAATTTTTTTATTAGCAAAAGTTCAGTTGCTTATAATTTGATGTCTACTTATAAAGCTTTTGATAAATATTTGAATTTTATATTGACATTATTAGTCAATGACCACAGTAGAATCATCTTATAGCAAATAAATACTTGACAATATTTTATAGGAAAAATGAAACAGAATGGTCATAAACTAACAAAAATTTTTCAAATCAAGTTAGGAAAATAATTTAGAGTAGAAGACAGCACAAGAAAGATAGGTATAAAAAAGGATCAAGCTTGTACCAGAATCACAGGCTCCCACAGTTTATTTAAAGAAATATAATGTCAGTTTCTGCCAGCAGAAATCAGTCATGAAACTTTCAATCAGTCAATCAGTCATGAAAAACTCAGTCAATCAGTCATGAAACTTTCATAAGGCATGGCAAAGTGAAGTGATGAATGACGAATTAATTAGATTCACAAGAATGTATGATGTTAATACATTCAGTCATGTTTCATAAGTAGATATCTGTTTCATAAGTAGATATCATGAAGAATGCTGCAGGCATCTCAAATTGCATTTTAGCAATTATTATATGTATCACTTGAAATACCGTAACACATGATTACCGTGCTAATGAAATTGTAATGCATCTATATGTAGATATTTTATATTATAAAGAGTACAAGTTATAATAGAGGGTCAGATCCATGTTCCAATTTCACACATAGCATAAATGTTGATACTTTATTTCCAAACTTTCACTCATACATACTTCAAAAATTACAAAAAATTGAATTGTTTAATGCTCACTGAATACATTGTTATTTCACATTGTATTGTTGTAATTATTCCACAAAATAAATATACCAAATTGATTTTAATAATTAGTAAAATTGGAAAGCTCAACATTTTTGCAATTGGACATGATTAAGTTCTTATTATTAATAAATGATTTATGCCACTCAGAATGAAATGCTTACAACACAGTTATTTAAAAAAAGTTCACAAAAAGCACCCACACCACAGTTTGCAACCTTTAGGAATCAATTGAGAAGTCAATAAATCAGAAGTTCTATGACTTTGGTAATAAATTTTTCTTAGACAAATTTACCAACACATTCACAACTTTACTATTACATACCGTAAACTGGGGTAACTTAGACCACTTTTTTTTTTTTAAATGATGCCATTTTTTTACTAGATAAGTTAAACTTAAATTGAAACATGCAAAATACAGATCTATACTCTAGCTTCACTCACCATAAATTGCTGGCTCCTGCCTCTCATAGTTTTGATGTAATTTAAAAAAAATCAATGGTCTTTTTTACCCCAGCTCTGGGGGTATCTTAGACCGGGTGGTAAAATCAATTATATTTTTAGTAAAATAACTCCAAGTAACTCCAGGTTTTGGTGCATTGTAGTAGAACTCTTCTAGTTACATATGCAAATGAAAAACTTGAGGAAAGTTTCATAGTTTGCAAATGGGGGGTCCCGCCCCCCAGGTGGTCTAAGTAACCATATATAAGACTCAGTAGAGTCTGAAACATAAAGAAGACACATAAATAGGCTGTCAAACATAAAATATGTTATATATGGTAATTTTAAATTAATTTCCAAGCCGGTCTATGTTACCCCGTCAGGGCTGACAATAGGTGGTCTAAGTTCCCCCATTGGGGGGCGGCGCCCCCCATTTGCAAACTATGAGACTTTCCTCAAATTTGTTTGTTGCATATGTAACTAGAAGAGTTGTACTACAATGCATCAAAACCTGGAGTTATTTTGCTAAAAAATAAAGAAATTGGAGGAGGTACTCTGAGAGGCTTTAAAAAATAGCTTTTTTTCGTGGGTCACATTTTTAATTTTTTAACCTATTAGATATGCAAACTTTTTAAATCTTTCTATTGTGTTACGTAGCCTCAGTATTAGGCCTTTAATGCCCATTGACAGAATTTTTCTATGTCAAATAGTTTTTGAGTTTTGGGGGTTTTTTGTTAAAAAGACCAAAAGTGGTCTAAGTTACCCCGGGAGTCTAAGTTACCCCAGTTTACGGTACTAGCTTCCTAAAAGCATTGAAAAACAAACTAATCAAAAATTTTCCAGTTAGGTGATAAAAATAATTTTTCAATAAAATAATTGTTTTCATTAACATAAAAACAATAAAAACAAAATGAGGCAAGTGGAACAAATAACAAAAGACAGAGCCACAGAGCAAGTACAGTTCAATAGCCTGGAAAGATATTTGTTTTTCTAGCATCCACAAAAGAAAAATTTGAGATTTGAACATAGCACAGGATATTAAGCTTACAAAACAACATGATTTGACTGTTCAAATGAAAAGAAGTTGTTCACATGGAGAATCACAAGTACAAGACAATTACAAGCCAATGATTCCAAATACGCATAAATGCTGGGAGAAAAAATACAATGAGTGAGTACCAGGGGAACTTCAATGGTTTCTTCATCTGATATGAAGTACCGCTCCTGAGCAGCTTTGTCTTCAGTTGCTGACTTAAGCTTTACTTTGGCAAACAAATGTGACTCCATCTCCTGTTGGGGCTGCTCAAGGGCTACAGGTGAAGCTTGAACCAAATCAGATTCTGCTTCTTTGGTCACAATCTCCTGCTCAGCATTGTTCTATTCTGTCAACTTTTAGGAGATTTCAACACTTGAAACAAAAAATTAAGGAATAGTCAGAAAAATGACATGGGAGGACAAGAACTAGCTTACTACACTATTGCAAATTTGAATGCATCAGCAAAGCTGATGAGAATAGAAGCATCTTCAAAAGAGCTGCCAATTTGAGTGAAATTTTCTGAAGGAACAGAGTCTTTTGAACATAAATGCTATCACAGAGGAATAATAAAGAAAGTGAAGCTTTTCATATTTGATCAGCAGATAAGAATGATGATGGCTTTAGTGTTCCTGATAAGAATACTAACAATACCATCAAAGGCTGATAGGAATATCTAGGTTTGTAGTGCGCCAACTCATCAGCGTTTGGCTCCCATGGACACTTTGACAAATAAAATAAGGTTTTCTCAACACATAAGTACCTACTATGAATGTAGATGGGTCAAAGGATGTGTAATTAATAAATGTATTTCATAGCAGTAATGTAAAACCTCTTAATGTTTTGATGAAAAATGGCAACAACTGGTTGATAAAAACAATTTAGCAGATGGATTGTGTCCAATATGATTTCTTTTAAGAAAAACTTCTCACTGACTGTGCCAAGGATTAATAATTGGAAGAATTATGAATACAAGCAAAAAGAAAATTAGAATGCTTGAAAAGATGAAGGCACAGTTGTGGTAAAAATAGAATGATTCAAACTGGGGAAAGAAACTCCAGATGAATCACGAGATGTTAGCAAAACACTTGTCATTCTTATGATATTGAACAGCAAAAATAATAACTATAAATTAGCCTTAATTAGGGTCTTGCATTATTTGAGGCTTAGGCAGAATTACAAAACCAGTGAGAATTTACTTGCAATTATGCACAATTGGCTATGCATTCTGAAGAAGTTTTGTTATACAATTGACATGAGTAGAATGATTTCAAGCACATATATAAGTAGGTACTTCTTTTAGATTTGAAAATAATCAAGTGAATAATATGGATGAGACGCTGTCAATTTAAGACTGAAGTGATGGACACTTCTCACACAGTCATGGTCTAGCTGCAAAATGGGGTACATATGTATACAGCAGCATAGCATCATATATAAGGCAGAATATCTGAAGAGATTCTTGTTCTAAGAATGAAGAGAGATCTGCAAACTTAAGTTGAAATTGTTAATAAGCAGCCAACCAAAATGGACAGAACAACATGCCTCATTAAACACCAAAGCATTACAATAGCAGCAGAAGTTCAAGTACCAGAAGCCAGAATATGATCCAAATATCAAAAGTCAAGAATGCTGATGAAAATTTATACAGACAAACAAAGAAAGAGAATGATTAAGATGAGGAATTCAGTATTTTATTATAAAATAATACAATTTGGCAATTGATATCAGCATAATATGTTGCTAGATAAGCTTCAAAGAACCAGTAGTGTAGGAACCACCCTGCTCCTGTAGCACAAATTGGAGAATTTTAGCAAACTATCTAAATTGTAAGAAGGCCCAATAAACCAATATTGGATGAATATAATGAGCAACACAAGTAAGTACCCTCTGAATGATGTACAGCAGAAATTATCCATTACTACCTGATTGGGATCGGCCAGAGTGGAAGCCGCCATTGGCTGGACAACTGCCTCTTCAACACAGGACTCAAACAAGTCAAGACTGTTGCTGTTGACATCATCTATGTTGCCCATGCTAGAAATATTGTATAGGTTACTTGGGACCGGCTGCAGAGTTGCTATGCCTGAAGCATCACCAATGCTTGACAAGCTGCTGGGACCATCAAAGGCATCATCAATAACGGTGAGAGGAGCTGACCAGGGGCCTGCAGCATCAAGCTGAGAGTCACTCGAGTCATTAGGAGGAGCAGGAGATTGAATGATTCTGGTGGCGTTTTGATTAGCATCACCCAGGCCTTCTGACTGTAAAGGATCAGAAGAGGCCAGTTTCTGGACCACAGTGTGAGCTGCAAGGCCATCACTAACAAGACTGCCTTGTGCAGCAGCAGCCTCTGTTGTTGAAGCTACTGTCACAGACTCACTCAGCTTTGGGCTTTCCATACCATTCACTGGTGACTGCAAAAAAAAATTAACTAGTGTGAATTCACTAAGGAAGAGATTGATGATAAAATAAAATTTCTGTGTGCATCAGGCAAAATTTAAATAAAACAGATAAAACATTCAAAATAAAAACATAAGGATTCAAATGACAACAAGCAGAGCAAAAAAAAAAATTTTTAAAGACATTAGCCTGTCTTGTTCTCATTAAACTCAGTGAATTAGGTTGAAGCATGCACAGAACCTATCAAAGATCATTCTCTCCTCAGTTAAAAAAGACAATAAGTGATTTTTTAATAAGACAATAATACTCATCATTCATTTTCATAATTAAAATTGAAATTTAAAATAACAACCAATGGTTTCATTTGACTAAAGTTAAATTGTACTTTAAATTTTTAGACATGTATCCTTTCTAATTATTTGTCTTGAATGGCCTGTCCATATAATCAAAACCTGGAGCCTTAGGACATTAAATATTGACAAGATGAAATGTATACAAAGGTGAATCTGTGCTGACTGACTGTCTTTACATTTTGAACTTAAGAAATATGGAGTTATCTTGTAAATTACAGCATGAAAGGTAATATTTCATGCTTAGTACGGTAGTAAGTTAAAACACTAGGACATACAGACTTTCCAAATTATGATGTGTACAGAAGTTAATGAAACTTGCCCATTAATAGTTAGCTCACATATCAATGATATAAAATAATAAATTATTGAACTATGGATGATACAGCACAGCACCTCACAAATATTAGGAGCAACTTGTCAAATCCACCAAAAAAATTCTGAATAGCTCAAAATATAATTAACATGAAACCTAAAACATCCTAAAAGAAGCATAGGTACCACATTTAACAGTTTGTCAATGACCCATTATATATCAACTCTAGTTTGCTTTAATCCTTGCCATTCAGGTTATATGGTTTACAATCTTTATACATATATAATGCACACTATTGCACAGGTATACATAGTCTCAGACTCCAAACAAATCCACTTCTCAGTGTTTCCCAATATCTTTTGAAGACTTGCACTTAGCACTATAAAATTTGCACCAGACCTCACAGTCACACCGTCACACGTACAACTAGTTTATTACATACGGTACTAAAAAATTACCATACTTTCAAGTAGTTTTTAGTTTGGAAGCTAAATAATGCAAAATTAAAAAATAAAAATACACGTTTTGAATCAATATGCCAAGTTAATACAAAGATTGAAATTAATTTTTAATAAAAAACTTATGTACATGTAACTTGAAATAATCACAAAAAAATTGCACAAAATTTATAATTTTATATGAGATTTCTTAAAGCTATGGAAAAACCCTATTGTTTTCATTGATTTGTTCAATATAAATAAGACAGCGGCCATAGAAAGAGGTGAAATTGTCTTTAAGCAAAGACCTATTTTGTCTCATTTGAGGGTGGCTTCTCCACTTTAGTAAATACTTAATAACATGTATTTTTGGCAAGAAATCTTAAAATTGTAGACAGCTCTATTAACATTTTTAAAAATAATGGATACTTTTTGTCCTATAAACCTACATAGATACATTGTGAACACACCTCATCTGGATTCCAGAATATAGGGTATTGGTAATATTCCATAAATTGCAGGTAAAGAGAAGGATTTAATGGGCAAATTTTGAAATTTGCTGGTGAAAAAGGGCTATTTTGATTATTTTTTATGAAAAAAATTAGGCAAGGGCTAGAAAAATCAGTGATATTGAAAATAAACATAGGCAAGCATTTTCATCTCATTTACATGTGGCTCTGCTGCTCCTGCAAAATTTTCCAGACTGATTGAACACCAAACCAAAGAAGAAATTGTTGGCCTGGAATTTTAGCCAGAGATTGGACCCAAAGAGCAATAGGTATATCTAATTTAATTAGACTTTTGACTGCAAAATTTTTATTTAAACTAAAATACATGTTAGGGTAAACGCAGTATATTCCGTCATCGTGGGTAATTCCGTCACCTCTCTAGTTTTTCCTTTATATTAAGCTTTGTTTTAGTTCCATGCGTTTGTTGATGGTTGAAATGGTGACGTCATACATTTGCGCATCGAACTAATGCCAAAACACTAGGTCTTGGCCATCTAGCGGGAAAATATTGAGATCCAAAGAGAGACAATGCATGCTACCCAGTGAGATCATCGATAAATGTGTCAAATTTGACAGTTGACCTTGCTCTACCAAATAGTGAATACAGCAATCCCTTGATTAACGCGGTTAATGAATCCCCGAGTTTTACCGTGTTAAGCAAAACCGCGCTAATCAAACTTAAGAATATATGGGAATAATTATAATGAATCCTCAAAAATAGCATAGGAAAGGAAAATTATGTAGTTTGATAAAAGTGAGCAGTAGATATGGCAGCGATCTTGACCAGTTGAAGGCTAACGAGTAACTAGCCCTTTACGCACTGAATTATGTTTCAAAAGGGAAAAAACAAAAACATTTCAGATCACGCGCAGTCTTTGTGTTGTACTGGCAGTAGCAGTGCGCCTACTCCATCAAACGTCGTTCGAACGAGTTCACAACATGTGACGCTACCGTCACACTTGCGGGCTAGACTCCAAACATGAAATTACTCTCGGTAGAAGCTTTTATTTTCTGTGTGACGAATTCGTCACACCAGGGCTTAAAGGGCTAGAGCACCGGCATGGCGCACTTACCGGCGAACATTGCCGAACTCGATCATTCGAGTTATGAACGAGACAAGGCGCAGTTAAACCGACTCTGTAGTCACCCCCCATTTGCAAACTATGACACTTTCCTAAAATTTGTCATTTGCATATGTAACTAGAAGAGTTCTACTACGATGCATCAAAACCTGGAGTTATTTAACCAAAAAATAAAAAAATTGGAGGGGGTACAATGACAGGCTTTAAATAATAGCTTTTTTCGTGGATTACATTTTTAATTTTTTAACCTATTAGATATGCAAACTTTTTAAATCTTTCTATTGTGTTATGTGGCCTCAGTATTAGGCCTTTAATGCCCATTGACCAAATTTTTCTATGTCAAATAGTTTTTGAGTTGTGGGGGTTTTTGTTAAAAAAACGAAAAGTGGTCTAAGTTACCCCGCCGGTCTAAGTTACATCATTTTACGGTATTCCAATACAGCTCACACAGCAAACGGAATTCGAACACGTGGATGACAGCATTACGTATCAGTAGAATTTGAAGCGCGGACGGAATACGCCTCACCACGTGCCAAACATAGTGACAAACCAGAGATTTTTTAGAATCAGTTTATTTTAAATTTTCTCATTTACTAAAGATTTAAACCAATTTCTTAAGCATGATAATGCTGGTATCCATGATACTTTACTGGTCTACTTATAGGACTCAAAAATGAACTTGATGGAGAGTCTAAAAAACTCTCTGCTTTGCCACTATGGACTGCGGCTGGTGCCAAATATTGCCACACAGGCACACACAGTGACAGAATATAGGGATTTGGTAGGTTTGCATTCTAACGGCTTTTACATAAATATGGCAACATTTTGTGACGTTTCATCGTTGCCGATGCGTACTACCTACGGTGTTTTGAGAGTCACCTAAAGCAAACAGAACTTGAGTAACGCATACGGTTATTTTTTTATAGTTTTTCATATCTCGATGCGTCCTTAATGTGACGGACTATACCGCGTTTACCTTATTGAAGATGCAAGTTTCTAAACTTACTGAAATTGGATGATTTTGTAGACTTGATATTTTTTTGAAGAACATAAGAAAAAATTAAAAAAAAGAGGAAGAGAAACTCTAAAAAGTAAAACATTTGAAAATACATTTTTAAGTAAAACTAGAAAAGAAAAACATGTTATCCTAGCCTGTTAGGCAAAGAAATTTGGTTTTGAACACAATAACTAATTAATTAGGTAGTAGAAAATAACAATCAACTTACAGAGGATTCAATTTAAAAAAAAAATACACTGAGATTTCAAATAGTGAGCATATTATATATAAAATAATAAAACTGATACCATTACCTGCACAGCTGAAGAGAATAAATCATCAGTATCTTCTTTGTTTACAGGTTCATCATCAAACAGTGGGAGTGGGGCATGATCTTTGCCTGTTTCAGCCATCATATTTTGCAATTTTAAATCAATTGATAAGCAGGTTTCAAACTTTCAACTACTGGCTGAATCTTTACAATATCAATTTAACGCACCAACCCTGAAGTAAGAATTTAGGTACCGCTTATTACAGACTCACACAAATTCGAACCTTTGTGTGACACAGTGACAGCGAATGACATCAACTTGTCTTGTGGCAGCACTGTATACAGTGCACATCATAGATCATATGATAAACAGCGATCCGCCCGCTGATTCTAAAGTTCTCGAGTGCTTGTCTCTGTCATTCCGCCGTACGAATTCTTGAAATAGTTTTTAGGAGAAAGGAATTAATTTCTCGAACTGATGTGTCATATTAGTTTTGAAACTAACCGCATTGATGTTCGATACGTTTGGGACGAAATTTTGAACTAAAAGGTTTTGCGCAGGTGTCAAACGTCAGATGAGAAATGGTCATGATAAATTTGAAAATATAGAGCACTAAACTGAAAGCTTTTGATATCACTTTTTCTACTTATAAAAATTTCGTCAATCTCCCCATATCGTCAATCTCCCCATAAGTTGACCATCGAAGTAATTATCGTCTCTCAATGTTAAATTATTGCCATAGTGAAAATCCATTTTGAATCGAAAGAAGAGCTACTGGTGGTAAACTAGCTACATAAAGGTAAACTTACAAACTCTAAAAATGCAAAAAAAAAATAGAATCTCACAAGCGGTGTCAGTGTTGATTAGACCGTTAGTCTAGAGTGGTTAGACCTGTCTCCGATTCTTAAGATCGAAGAATTTTCACAGCTTGTTGCGGTCTTGAACTTGCAACTCGGTACTCAAAATTTGTTCTGCTCAACAGCCCGGCCTTCCTGCCGATTTGACCTGCCCAGAACTGTGGCAAGTAACTGGAGTCGAACCTACAAGTCTCTGCTCCAGTCTTGTTAGACTGAACTGTAAACACTGGGTCGGTAACCACAAACAATATGTAGTCACAATAAAAATTTATACAGGTTTGGTTGAAGACCAGAGCGTACTTTTTATTTACGATTTTCTTATTGTTCTTTTCGATAAGCCGAACGAAATTTCTAGCTGGAGCTTGGAGATCAAAAAGTAGATTACCGAATGACATTTTATTGCAGTGCGACGTTTCGAATATATCAATATTCATTATCAAGCAAGTGAACAGTTAT